ACCACTCTAGCCTGGGCAACAAAGCGAGACTCTGTCTAAAAAAAACCAAAAAACAAAAAACAAACCCACAAAACTGCTAAGAATTGCAGGTTGGTGACAGCAAGGCCCTTCTGAGCACAAGGTCCTGTGTGACCGCACAGGTCATCCGACCATGAAGCCAGAAAAGGGGTGAATTCTCTGCAATGCCGGGTAGTCGAGCTCACCGACTGCAGCAGAGCGCTGTCGGGGGAGACGGAGGCTGCGTCCCTCACGGCAGGTACATGCGTTGTGTGGGTTACTATTCTACAGAGCCCGAGGGCAGTCAGGGCATGCTGAGGAGTAAGAAAAAAAATCAGAAAACAAAGCCTGGCTCCAGGATATATTATTATTTCCATAATCATTTTCAAGGATGCACAAATATACATTACAAAAAATATAATATCCTTAAATCCTTTGGGGGACAGAATCTCATTAGTTATATTTAATTACAGGTGAATATTTTTACTTACATCTGCAACATATATCAGCCGTATAGAGAAAGACTCACTATATTATAAACACTCTAGGTTGGCCACTTGGATTCAATTGTGCTTTGGATTTCTTATTTGTGTTCCCAAATAACTGATTTTATTTTTTCAAAGATTTTGTACATTCAGTCTAAAAAGACAAAAAGCTTAATTGTTAAAGGAAAGTTCATCTGACGAGAAATGAGGTGCTGGGCATACTCTTCCCTATTTCTCTTTTTCTCTGTCCTGCCTCCATATCTTCTTCCTTCCCCTTTCTTCGTTCCTCTCTCCTTTCCCCCTCCCACTCGCACCAGCCATGTAACTCGTCCTGTCTGTATAGCACAGCTGTGGCTGGACATCTAAACAGCATGTAGGACAGGTGGAACTCAGTTACTCACAATGCTGTCTTTATTTTTACAGAGATGTTACAGTATCCTTAAATGCTAGTCTGATATTAACATCACTGAGGAAATACTGGCCTCGGCCAGAGTAGGAGTAAGAGCTAACGTGTAAAAGCACAGGCATGAATACGTAAGTGTGCCTCAGTGCACATCCCTCTGTATCGTAAGACTTAGATTCAAAGAAAACTCCATGTGCTGAGTTCCCTGGTACAAGGGGCCAGCCAGTTGCCAAGGTGGAGGATTCATGATAAGTTCAAGTACTTTAGAATATTAAATGATTCTTCAGAAGAGGCAGAGAACCAAAGTAAAGATAAACTCCGCTACGTAGGTGGGATTTTGGTCCAGCTGCACGACTGCGCAGGGCAGAGCTGCCCCACCCGGGAGCCCTGCGTGACCCTCTGCTGCTCACCACCATCCTCCTCTGCTCCCCCCGTCCCCATCCCTGGGCGGCAGAGCACGGCCCTACAGGTAGGAAATCATTTGTGGAGGGGTTAGTCCCCCAGCGAAATACTAGCTGACCTTCTAAGTCTTCTCCAGCATGAAGGGCTGCCAGATAAAATCCAGGCTGCCCAGTTAAATATGAACTTCGGATAAATAACAAATAATTTTAAGTGTAAGTATCTCCCCAATATTGCATGGGACATTCTCATATTAAAAAATTATTTGTTGGCCAGGCGCGGTGGCTCACGCCTGTAATCCTAGCACTCTGGGAGGCCGAGGAGGGCGGATCACTCGAGGTCAGGGGTTCGAAACCAGCCTGAGCAAGAGCGAGACCCCCATCTCTACTATAAATGGAAAGAACTTAATTGGCCAACTAATATATATAGAAAAAATTAGCCAGGCATGATGGCGCATGCCTGTAGTCCCAAGCCACCTGGGAGGCTGAGGCAGGAGGATTGCTTGAGCCCAGGAGTTTGAGGTTGCTGTGAGCTAGGCTGACGCCACGGCACCCACTCTAGCCTGGGCAACAAAGCGAGACCCTGTCTCAAAAAAAAATTCAAATTTAACTGAGCATCCTTTTTTTTCCTTTGCTACATCTAGCATCCCTCAGAGCGTGGAATTTAGCAGAACACGCTTCGGGGGGGATATCCAGGCTCCAGTGCACTCTACTCACGTCCCTGCAGCTAACCTGCCCCAGGGCATAAGGGGTGTCAAAGGTCGGTTGGGTGCACTGGAGTAAGGACGCAGCATCACCAACCGGCGCCACTCTGACAGCAGGTTGTGGGTCTGGGGTGTCCTGGGGCTCTGGGCACCACAGGGAGCTCCAGCACAGCAGTGTCACCTAGGTCGGTTTGAGCTGGACACTGTGTTTGCTGTCTGTCACCTTCGGTTAGAGGGGCAACAGAGCCATGGCAGAGCTGTTTCTGTCATCAGTTTTCATTGCAGTGTTTCTGCTTTGACGAAATACTCATCAAATATCTGAGTCAGCAAAAAGCATAGCTGGGGGTGGGGGGGAGGCAGCTTTGGGGCTGCTCCCAAGCCAGTGCCTGGGAGGGAATAAAGTCCTAAGTTGGGGTGAACACGGGGTGACCAGCAGAAGGCTTTGGCCTCAGCGGCCACATCGGAAATCTGAGGTCCATTAGCCTTTTCCCTCTGGCAGGAGCACATGCTGTTGGCAGAAAAGGCTGTCAAATTCAGAGCAAACTAATCTTCTTTCTTCACACGGTAAAAGGGAGACTTAACTCGCTGGCTGATTTTGTTTATTTGAGAAACACATAGCATTTCTTATCTGCCAGGCATTGTTCTAAGTGCTTTGCAAGTATCAACTCATCAAATTTTTTAATAAACCAAGATGTAGGTATTATCATTCACCTCATTTTACAGAAGCAGAAACTGAGGCACAGAAAGGTTAAGTAACTTGCCCAAGCTTACACAGCTAGGAGGCGGCTGAGCTAGGAATCATCCCGGGCAATCTTTAACCACTTTGCTAGACCTCAAGGAGGGCTTGTACCGGGGCTACAGCAAGAATCCAGGCTATTGTGTGTGATGGTGACAAGCAGGTGAAGATGATGAAGATGCATTATGGGGCACAAAGTTCTGTACCAGCTTTGGAAGAGGCAAAGATGCACGGCTAGTGACTGGCACGTGACACGCACTCAAAACTCGTGGTATTGCTCTTACACCCGCACACCTTTGTTGTACGTTCCAGGCTCCATGCAAGCTGCTGGGGACACACAGAAGCCCTGTCCTCCACTGCAGAAGTTGATAGCTGGAATGACCGTTTTGTCCAAAACAGGACAAGCAAGTGAGAGCGATGCAGTTAGCTGTGGTAAAGCAACTGGCTTGATAGCCCCTGCAATGCTCAGAAAAGACCCCCAGTGATCCAGCCCACCTTCTAGCCTTTCTGCAAGCGGATTACCCAGCTGTTCATCTGTATTTCCTAAAGGTGTGCCTGGTGGCTACCTTGATCACCCAAATCTTCATGTGTGGTAGGCATGCGGCAGTGTTGGCTAAATTCAGCTGAATAGTTCTCAGCATTGTGTATTGCTGGGACTTTAAAAAAAAGAAAAAGGATTATTAACAAATGTTGCTGTATTTCCTGACATCTTAATAAAACAGATTTATGAAAACAGATGTATTAAGATTTGGGATATGTGAATTTGGACCTTTTGCTGATATTTATAAAATTAGAAAATCTCAGGGTTGGCCAACACCTCCAAGTTGTTCTGGCTCAACAATCCACTGTGGTCTGACTTGTCCCCAATCCCATTCTTGCTAAGTTCTAAGAACCCCATTAAGAGTCCAGCTGCGTATGCAGCTATTACCTAAGCTAGTTACAATGCGATCCATGTCAGGCAATTATCAACCTCAGCTTCACTTCCTATACTCTATCTTATCCAGAAAATGTGACTCTAGAGGGACATAAGTGTAGATTGCAGAGTGAAATTTAATTACATTTTCTTTCTTTTTTTTTTTCTTTGAGACAGAGATTCACTCTGTTGCCCGGGCTAGAGTGCTGTGGCGTCAGCCTAGCTCACAGCAACCTCAAACTCCTGGGCTCAAGCCATCCTCCTGCCTCAGCCTCCTGAGTGGCTGAGACTACAGGCATAAGCCACCATGCCTGGCTAATTTTTTCTATTTTTAGTTGTTTGCCTAATTTCTATTTATAGTAGAGACAGGGGTCTCACTCTTGCTCAGGCTAGTCTGAAACTCCTGAGCTCAAGTGATCCTCCAGCCTTGGCCTCTCAGAGTGCTAGGATGACAGGCATGAGCCACCGCGCCCGGCCTGATTACATTTTCTTGAAACACATAAACTTTTTTAGCTAAAGGCTTTTTTGTTTTGATTAGAATAAAAAATATTTTCAAAGAACCAATTTGTGGTTTCATTTGTTTTCTCCATCATTTACCTATTCTTTATTTTACTAATTTCCACTTGAAGCTTTATTATTTCCTTCCTTCTGCTCACTTTTGATTTAGTTTTCTGTTCTGTTTCCAGTGTCTTAAGGTGGGAGCTTAGGTTTTTAATTTGAGATCTTTCTTCTTTATTATTATAGGCATTTACAGCTATATATTTTCCTCTAAAGACTGCATTGGTTGCATTGCATAAGTTTTGGTGTGTAGTATCTTTATTTTCAATCATTTCAAAGCATATTCTAATTTCCCTTATGATTTCTTCTTTGGCTCATTGGTTATTTAACAGTTGGTTGTTTTATTAGCACACATTTGTGAATTTCCCAAATTTTATTGTAGTCATTCCTAATTTTATTCCATTGTGCCCAGAAAATATAATTTGCATTAATTTAATCATTTTTAATTTATTGAGTCTTGTTTTATGTCCTCTCAGATGGTCAATCCTTAAGAAGTTCCCATGTGCACTCGGAAAAAAAGTCTATTCTGCTATTGTTGGTTATGATTTTCTATAGATGTGTGTTAGGGCCCCCCCGGACTTGGTTTATAGTATTGATCAAGTCTTCTATTTTCTTTTTTATCTTCTGCCTACTTGCTTTCTTCATCATAGAAAGTCATGTATGGGCCAGGCACAGTGGCTCAGGACTGTAATCCAGAATTTTGGGAGGCCAAGGCAGGAGGATCACTTGAGGCCAGGAGTTCAAGACCAGCCTGGGCAACATTGTGAGATCCTGTCTCTACAAATAATAATAATAAAAAAATTAGCCAGCCTGGTGGCATATGCCTATATTCCCAGCTACTTGGGAAGCTGAGGTGAAAGAATCACTTAAGCCCAAGAGTAGGAGGCTGCACTGAGCCGTGATCACCACACCACTGCACTCCAGCCTGGGCAACAGAGTGAGATCTGTCACTTTAAAAAAAAGAAAGGAAAAAAGAAAGTTAGGTATGAAAGTCTCAAACTATTATTGTTGAATTGTCTATTTCTCCCTGTTTAAGTACATACATGTTTTTAACTGTTATTATTATATTATTGACCTTTTAATCATTATAAAATATTTCTACCTCTAGTAACATTTTGTTTGTTTTAAAGGCTATTTGTCTGATATTAGTAAAGTCAGTACAGCTTTCTTATGGTTGCTGTTGGCATGGTCTTTTTCCATCCTTTTACTTTCAACCTACTCATATCTTTGAATCTAAAGTATCTCTGGTAGACAGCGTATGGTTAGATCTTGCGTCTTTACCCAGTCTGATAATCTCTCCCTCTTCATTTGATTGTTACCCAAAGTCTATCAATATTTAATGTTAAAATTGATATAGTTGTGTTTACATCTGATACCTTACTTTTTGTTTTCTGTAGGTCTCATCTTCTTTTTGTTCCTATATTCCCAAGGGGTGTGTATATGTATATATTCTTAGTGTTTACATCTCAAGGTATCAGAATCTACTTCAGATTTATAATAACTTAATTCCAGTGAGATACAGAAACGTTACTCCTATATAGCTCTGTTAACTCCACATCTGGTCTCTCGCGCGGGCACTTCCTGCTGCCTGCTTTTGAACGCATGTAGGTCACACCTTGCTGTTTCTTTGTCTCACAATTTCTTGTTGACAACTGGACGTTTTCATAGCAAGTCTGGGTACTGGTCCTCTCCCCAAGCATTATTGTTATTGCTTGCTTGTTTATCTATTTTGTGACTTGAAGCCTCTGTGTTGCTTCTCAGAGGGTGCAGACTTAGAATGTGAGCGGTCCCTCTCCAAAGCAACTCGTGGATCGTGACTCCAAGATGGAACTAGAATTTTGATCTTGTAACTCCCGGTCCAGCATGCTTCTCTCCTCACAGCTGCGTTGTGAGGTCGCACATCATGCCCTGAGGAGGTGGTCACGTGATGTGACTGGTGTGGTTTCTTGCCTTTTGGGATTCTATCATTCTAGATCACTCTAGATATACTCTGGAGGAGAGTATAAGAATGTCTCAGATAGGAAGAAGGTAGGACTAGAATCAAGGAATCACAAATGATTTGGCAGAAAATAGCTACAAATATAATTCATCATGAAACAGCAAAGGTACAAGAAGCCCAAGCATCATGACGGCAGTGCAGTTATTGTTTTTTCCTTTTACCAGTGAGAAAAGTAATGGCACCACTTCTTCCTGTCCTCTCTCTGCATGCCGTTCTGGTTGCTGTGTACCGATTTGCTCAGTTATCTTTTTACTCCTAGCGTTACTTTTTGGTTCCCTTTTTACTGCTATCAGTATGTTCAGTTAACTGGCTTGATTTAAGTTTCTGAAATAAAACTTTCCGACTGATCTCCAAAGTAAAAAAAAGAACGTGAGCAGTCAGGTGGGATGGGAGCTGTTTGAACAGGGCTTTGCTTCCTCTGACAGGCTCCTTCCCTGACCGCCCCACCACAGGCCTCCCCCCTCCCCAGTGTCAGTCCACTAACTGCTTGTCGATTGCTCTTTGATTGCTCCATTGCTTTCAATAATACCCTGGGGCATAAACTGTTTCACTGTCTGATCCAATTACATTTGGGTTCTTTTGCAGGGGTAGTTTTTGCAGTCAGAGTTTGAGCTTTGCTCTGACCCCAGAAGGGCTCTTCTTAGCTGTCTCTTCCCTGATTCACTCATATAAACTAACTGGGCTATTGTTTAGTTTGGATCTCTCCATAAAGCCTCCTTTTACTTGCTGACCACTGAAATTTCCATTGCTTATGAGAGTGTCTTTAGGCTTAAAATTCCCCACACTAAGTTTCAGATAAGGAGATCTTTGGAAGGCCTGTCCCTCTGGGCAAAATCTCTGAGCCACATTCCACAGCTGGGGATGGGGACAGTGGCTGCTTCTCAAGTGACTCCTGCTTTAGGAGCAGGGTCCAGGATGGGATGGCAGCTTCCGGTTTCCCCAGATTGTCTCTCCCAATATGGAGCCTCTGCCCTGTGAACAAGCTGAGTCAGGGCAAATTGGCCCAGTACTCTCAGCGCCACGACTGACTGTGGGACGGGTAGAAGGGATTCCCTGACCCAGCTGCGCCTGCCCGGAATTTAGTCTTTGCAACTGAGCTGGGGAGGACGACACACGTTGGCGGCCTGCCCCTCCCTGGGAGATGCCATAGCCCTCAACTGAGCACTGAGGGGAGCAGGACCCTGTGTTCTCAGCTGCACTCACCTGGATGGAGTCTGTCACGCCCACCCGGGATGGAGTCTGGAGGAGGAAGTGGGTCGTGGTTCAAATGACACAGACTCTTACTGTTCTTACTGATTTCTCATAGATATTCTTGAGTAAATTTTCTGCATACTGTATGCCCTTAGAGTAATTCCCAGCGGCTTCAAGTGGTTGTTGTCTTTTGCATTTTCCCCAGTTATGCCTATTTAGCAGAAAAGCGGCCTGGGCAGCACCTTACCATTCTGGAAGTGAAATGCACGTACTTTGATTTCTCATTGCTTTTTAAGGTCCACTTCATATACACAAGAGCCACTTTCACAATTGTTTAATTGGCCTATAAAAGGGAAGGGAAAAGACTTTGGTTTATATTCACAATGTCACTGAACATATATAAAGTCTATGTTTTCAGTTTGGTCATTGACTATTTATATACTACCATTTGCATCAGATAGCATTGGAGATGGTTTATAAGCTGCATACGCTATAGCCAGAAAAGTAAAAAAATAATTGGAAAAAGCAAGGGAAAGTAAGAATCGCTTAAAGGTATTTGCAATAGCTGTTATGCATTTTGTTAAGTGTTTGCACATTCTTAACTGCTCACCACCATAACCAAAGGCAAATGCACTTTTCAAGGTAGCTAATCTCCATAGAGGGCTAAACTTAGCATCTGTCTTCTTCCGGCAGCATCTTCCTCTAAGCACGGAACCTGCGGGACATGCTACTCATTAGCATAGTTGTACAAGCCATCCGTTTTTATGAAAATGTTCCTTCTGTTTTGTGCCAATATTAATCTCCAGACTTATAAAATAACCACCTATCTTGTTCCTCAGATACACTCCACCAAAATTTATCATTGCATTGTCTCATAAGAAAGTCGAAATGTACACGAGTGATTCATTTGGATTAATTTGGAATATCTTGTTCATGGCTCTGAATATATAGAGATATTTGATAAATATAGACTAATAAATTCCTCTTAACTCTTGTTATTGTTGGTTCAAAGTACCAATCCAACATCCTTTTCTCTTGTTTCAAATTCTATTGTTGTCATAAATATTAAATTCCCTCACTATAGTCATTTAGTAAAAGATCAGCCCTTTGGGACATATGGTTTACCTGTAGCCAAATAAAGGTGATTACATCTCCACTGGAACTTAAAACCTTGGAGCTGAATTATTCGGTTCTGATAAAATCTCTGTCTACCAAATATTATTTCCAACCTTCTTCCTTGCTAACTAAATCTTGATTTTATTCAGAGTGGCAACATGCCCAGCTCCAGTCAATGATTCAAGATTGATGTAGACCAATTATGACAGTCTTTCCTCTTTGCCGGGCACTCGTTTCCCCAGACTCCTTTGCATCTAGAGGTGACCGTGGGCCCCAGACCTGGTCATGAGATGGTGGAGGGGAATCTTCTGGCGAGTCCTCTGGGAAATATTTTTCTCTGTCGTAAAAAGGAAATTCCTAGCTGGGCACGGTGGCTCCTGCCCATAATCCCAGCACTTTGAGAGGCCAAGGGGGGAGAACAGTTTGAGGCCAGGAGTTCAAGACCAGCTTGGGCAATACACTGAGACTCCATCTCTACAAAAAAATAAGAAAAATTAGTTTGGAGTGGTGATGTGCACCTGTAGTCCCTGCTACACAGGAGGCTGAATCAAGAGGATTGCTTGAGCCCAGGAGTTTGAGGCTGCAGTGAGCTATGACGGCACCACTGCACTCCAGTCTGGGTGACAGAGCAAGACCCATTTCTAATAAATAAATAAATAGGAAATGCCTTTTGTTATCATGCTTTTTTTTTGTTCCTATATTAAACACACCTGCACAAGGATGCAATAAAACCGTGGCAGCTATTTTGCAATGTTGAGAGATAAGTCTAAGCGTTCGAGGCTGATATCCTGGGGACTGCAAAGACAGGAAGAGCCTGCATCCTTGATGACAGTGTTTGAGCCTCTGCAATGACCTGGAAGCTGACCTCTGAACTTCTAGTTATATGAGATAATTAAAACCACCTGACGGCTTAAGTCACTTTCAGTCCAGTGGTGTTCTGTTGTTTGGACCTAAAAGTATTTCTAACAAACACAGTGCTCCTGCTAAACTGTTAGTTAAAATCAAGTGTACAGCAGAGACTTTTACAATGAAGTCAAAAGAATTAGAAGCTAACCCTAATGTAGGATTGTACTTAAAACAATCCTTGAGTGTTCAATTTACTCAGATATTTATGTCACTAATAATTTTCAGAATACAAGACCTTGTATTTAGTAGTTAATTAAAAATACAAAGACAGTGAGTACTACTGAGTTTTGATTTTTTTCCCCACCATTTGCATCAGAATAAATGTGCCTGAGGCTCTGCAGGAGAGTGGTGGAGATTTGTGAGACATCTACAAGATGTCCCATCATCTTGTAGGCCCAGGAGAGTTTAGCTAAAGACATGGGATTATGTCCCTGGAAGGATGGGGAGGATTTAACAGACAAAGAAGGGGCCAGGAGACATGATCACGCTGTTCTAAAAAACAAAAAAGGAGTCCCAGAAGTCATCTCTCCTCCTAAATTTGGCCATTAATAATTCGGAAGTCAGTAAGTAACGACTGTCCCTAACAGAGAGCCCTGGGGCCTATGTCAGCTCCAAGCTCTGCAAGAAAGAAAAGGAGGGGAAGCTGCACGTGACAGGGACCAGGGAGGGGCCTTCTGCAGGCAGGGGCGGGAGTTGGCTGTGGCTCTGGGCCCAGCATCCAAGCTCTTGATGACTGGCGGGCACTTTGCAAAACACGAGTTCTTGGGATGGCTTCCACAGCTCCCCGTGGACAAGCAGATAGCTACACCACAGGGGCGCCCCTGCTCCAATATGCCGAGGGCTTCAGCAGTAGAATGCCGTGGAATTTCTGTGCTTACCTTTCCAGCCTGGGCTTTTCATACCACACCGTGTAAATGGATGTCTGAGCAGGCAAATGAGACGCAGATCCTCACACTTTCACAATCGAGCCGACTGCAGTCTTTTGCAGAATTTTAAATGGCATTATTCATTTGCCTCTAACTAATCTTTATTGCATCCTTTCAATATTCCAGAAATTGGAAATTTTATTGAAATTTGAACTCAGGAAAATGACATTTATTCCACTTTAGGGAAATGGTATTAATAACATTATCCCACCCACTCACATCTTTCCATGAGCCCCACTGGCTCCACACAACATTCAGCCAGATAGGCCAGGAGGGACCTCATGCCTCTGGGAATTTAAAAAAGAGTTCTGGAATGATTTTGAAATAATTATTCTGAAACCACATTTAAGGTATGATGATTAATTTTCTGTGCCAATTTGACTGGCCTATGATGCCCAGTCTCTGGCCGAACACTCACCTAGGTGTTGCCGTGAGGGCATTTTGTAGCTGTGTTTACCATGTACGGCAGCTGACTTTGGGTAAAGGAGATGGCCCTCCACAGTGGGGGTGGGCCTCACCCAATCCACTGAAGGCCTGAAGAGCAAAAACTGAGGTTTCCCTAAGATGAAGGAATTCTGCCTAAAAAGTACAACATAGAAACCCAGCCTGAATTTGCAATCTGACAGCTTGCGCCATACATTTTTGGATTTGACAGCCCTTGTAATCATCTGAGGCAATTCCTTGAAATCCCTCTCTCTCTCTCCCTGCTCCACCACTATGTGTGTGTGTGTGTGTGTGTGTGTGTGTGTATTTTATATATATATAGGTTCTGTTTCTCTGGAGAACCCTGACTTGTGGCTCTTACATAATCTCCCAGAATCCCAGAACATGACAACCTGGTAAGAGTAAAGTGTGGGAGGGGTTGCCCTGCCATGCCTGAGTCAGCTAAGAGCCCTTCTGTCCTGGCCAGTGCAGGGCCTGGTGACCTCAGAGTGCACAGCATGAGTAGAGACAGAGACACTTCCACAAATGTTACCAATTTGTGTTCTTTTAAAACAAGATCATTGATTTTCCATTTAATTTAAAACTCCACTCCAAGACATGACCACCATGTTTATTCCATTGCCACACTGAGTATTAGGCCATGGTGAAGCTTCTTAGCTTCCACAACACTAAGCAGGATGCTCAGAACAGCACTGGACCCCGAGTGAAGACAGAGTTCCTGTGGCTGATTGCTCCCTTTGGCCAGGAAGCAGGTTGCTCATCTGTCCCTTGCTCCCGGCTGCCTCTCAACTTGAATATAATCTCCTAATCGACAAAGGACCAGCCCTTTCTCCCACCTCCTCCTCCAATCTCCAGGATGATTAATGAGAGGTTTTATCTCTGAGGCTCTCACTGATAGCTCCTAACTCATTTCTATAGAAACATCCAAAAGAAACTGCCGTTTGTTAAGGCCTTTGTGATAGTGTGTAATCGGCCATCTCTCCCATGTTAAAACGTCTCCATTCCTGTAATATTTTCGTGGCTGCAGCAGCTGTTGGACATTTTCTAGCTTTTGCAGAGTTTTGCAGCTGTGGAAAAATCTTCGCTAAAGGTCCTCCAGCTTAGTTTAATGCAGATGTCTGGACCTGGTGTGGTTAGCATAAAAATTCAATAGCAGCAGTAATTATTTTTTATTATTGTAATATACGGGAAGAAAATCCTGGCTTCCAAGTTGGAAAGTCCACAGTGAGTTAATAAAGTCTCTACCTCTGACCTCCTCAGAGCCGGGACAGGTAGCCTTGCAGTTCCTGGGCTTGGGTTCAGGGACATCGAGGCGCAGGGTCTTGTCCAGGTCAAGCCCCGGAGGCCCAGGGGCCCTGGCTGGGGGAGCAGGAGCTGGACACTGAGGTCACCGCTGGCGTCCCCACCGCGGCTCCTGCATGTCGGCCGGCCGGAGCAGCCAAGGGCGCTGTGCTCAGCCTCGCAGGGACGGTGATGCTTTTCCTTTGTTTTTCGGGCCCCAAGAAAAACATCTCTGATTGAGATGCTTGAGAGAGCTCCTTCGCTTGGGAAATGTGTGATATAATAAAGAGATTTACGGCCATCCTCTCATAAGGAATGACAAATGTTCTGGGATCTGTGCACCCAATTGCCCTGGTCCGGGGACCCTCAGCACAAGCACCAAGCGCCGGACCCGCACCCTCCTCTGCTCTCTGAACCACAGCTTCTCCAACCCGCCGAGGGCTCCCGGCACAGCCTGGCTGGCTCAGGCACCTTCCAGCCCCAGAGGTGATGTCCCGCGTGGAGCCTGTTACAAACCAAGCCCTGGTCACCCAGGTGCTGTCGCTGCCTGAAAGCTCACCTTCGCCAGGCGCCAGGTGGATGGGGCCTGGGGGGGGCGGGAGGGGAGTAGGCATATGAAAAATAATGTTGACGTTTTCTTTTTTCTAGTTTCTCAAATACTGTATGAAGG